AAATGATACACGAAATTACATATGCGTGAATTCAAAAAATCGTGATTTAATCTGGGATCTACTCATACAACTATATCAGTGCTTGCACGTGGTATTACCACCATTTTCCCAATAAAAAACAATGAGGATGTTTTCGTTGAAACCTTTGATTAAACTGAACGTTTTTTGAACATCTTCAATTATTTTGAACGATTGCCGCAGCAGAAAAATTTGACTTTGCAAGAACGGCGGAACTCATAAATTGTATTTATATTAAGTGGTAAACAAGAAATTACTTCACATCACAATTGCACACAAGATACCAAATTTTGATGAAAGGCTACAAGTGAGGGGAAATTGTTCCGAGGGTAAAATCATTTATCGATTTATAAATTGATAAGCATTAGTGTGCAACCGTCAATGAATGTTTGCGTGTAACAGTGGTAAACTGCCAAGATTTCTGTTCTATGAATTTTTGGTGTCTCATATAGTAAAAGCGCTTAGATCGATTATACAGCCCACGCGGGTCAATGTTGTGAAAAGTGGAAAGAAATTTTCCCTTTTTAAGCTCTTACAACTAGGCCCGTAAGCAAGTACATTCCTGCGGGGGAGGGGAGGGGATCTGAGAGGGTGTGTGTCATATCTCGCTCCTCTTATCTGACTTATTTTTTTCTGTATATCTTTTAAAGGTTCATATGCCCTAATATCTATGTAGCAGCAACTTTTACTCAGCAGAAGGTTTGCACTGGCGCTACTAGCTGTATACCTTCTATGATTGCAAACTAAAGACTCTGAAACTTACCGCGCAATGCAAAAAAAATGCAAATGAATTAATAACTACCCATTCTCAAAGTTTTCTAAGTAAGATTGGTGATTTGGGAGAAAAACTTCTTCTGCAGAAGAACAAATATTAGGCTGCTGCATAAGTTCTGTCCGATTTTTTTGCCTTATGTTTGAAGCAGCTGTTCCAGGAGAATTTCATCTCTAATGCGGTATTGTTAGTACAATTAGAGAATATTTTCCTTGCTCTTTCTAATTCATTTCAAAATTCAATAAATTCCTTGGTATAAAGAGATTTCAGGCCTAAAATCTCCAAGTGGCCGAGGTACATTCTTACCCTAAATATGTTCTTGCGAGGAAATCTCCACAATGCGCCCTTCGAGTCAAGTTTTTTCATTGGCTGCGGAATAAGGGTATAGAAGGCTAGTATATGCAAAAGCTCATTTTCATGAAGAAGCTAGTGAAATTCTTCGTCGCACATTATTTTTTTCTATAGATGTTTTACAAGCAATAACATGCAAATAGAATTATTCGATGAGTTCAAAGTTGAAGGTGCTAGGGTAAAACAAGAGCTAGCAGGGCCATCCACCAATTCGGCGGTTACGTCAATTGCAAAATTTTCATAATTTGTAAATAGGCATGCACATACACGGCTTATCAAAAGCAGTGTCGCTTGCATCAGCATCTCCACTCCCGCGCTGGACTCTGCGCCTCTTTCGCGAACATGCTCCCTGATCACTTTCCCAGGGCGAGCGTGGGAAAGTGCGGAACCTCTATCGATTGGAAGTGACTAGGGAGCATGTTCGCGGAAAAGAGCAGAGTTCAGCGCGCAAGTGGAGATGCTGTTGCAAGCGACACTGCGTTTGCTAAGCCCTGTATGCGCTAAAGCGAGGTCAAAAACTGGCTTCTTTTTTGCTCGGTCAAAAAAATCTCTCGGCAACGCAAACCCTATGGGCTCTTTTATGTTGCGAAATAATCTACGGAAATTTCCATCAGAGTTAATTTGTTTGATCTCCCTCTCCATCCATAGTTAGATAAGAAGCTTACTAATTCTTATAAGAAAGCATTGTCATGTTAAAAAAGACAGGTTTGAAGAAAACCGCTGTGAAGTTTTTGAATTCTTGCTTCTTCCTTGACAAGGATTTCCACAGATCTCATTATGCGTTTGATAGCCAACAAACTGCTCAACACATAGAAGCTGAGATCTTGAAAAAAGTTGACATTGAAAGAAGTTGTGACACTTTGAACTTGAAAAATTAAAATCGGGCAGAACTTATGCAGCAGCCTAGTACGAATCGAACGAACTACTAAATTTAATTCACGTCGTTAATCCCATAAGAATAATCACCATGGGCTACATTTATTTGCAAAAACCTTTTCAATTTATTGGGTAAAACCTTTATAGTTACTAATTACGCAATCAATCTTTTTCAATGCTGTTTTAGTAGAAATCCGAGCATTTGGCATTCTATAAATTAGAATTCATGGTTCGCAAAATTTACTTGTCAGACAAGTACATGACATTGCAAAAGTCAAGTCAGCGATTCCTTCGCGTGTTTGAAACCAATTGGATCCGCTTTAGGTGTCACTTTCAAACCCGTGCATCGGATCCATTCGCCATTGCGCGGAATGCCCTAGACGCCGTCAGCGTGCACTGCGCTAAATAAAAACCCAAGGCGTATTCTGCAGCTTGCTCTACGGTTTTTGTGGCAGACAGGCATACAGGCGCAATCTTACAAAAAGACAGAGGCTTAGTGCTTCATATTATACGTCATGGTAGTGTGGTAGTACATGATAAGACATTGCCATAAAAGCCGAGAATTTCATTGTTTCTGTGATACTCTGCAGATCCCCAGGAGATCACCTCACATTTTCAAAGTCATTTATCTTTCTAAAACCTGATAAAAATGCAATAAACTACTGGGATGAGCTGTGGCACTGCTAGACATATTTATAATAGGAATTAGTAGCTCAGAATATTGAAATTCTCAATGACCCGCTCTTCGCGAGCTGAAGTCTTACCGAAAAAATTACTGCTTGCCTCTCCCTCCTCAGGGGAGTTGTGTGTGCATAAGGGTCTTAATTGTCACCCTCATGCCGCGCGCTGAACCTAATACCAAAAAGTGCCATTAACATGTTAAATGTGGCATTTTCCAGTTTTTGCACTGCTTTTATTGTTATAGTTATTGCATTGCTCGCACAACGCTAACCATCTTGGCTTGATGATTTGGACCTAAAAGCAAACTCAGAATTATATATTAGCTATAGGCGATACTTGAACATAAAAAATAACAGAAACTACCGTATTCGGTCTTTGAGGTGAACAAGTGACTAGAAACATAGTAGTTAAAAGCCTTACTGAATTCACTTCCACGATTTTGAGTTCGCCTCCAAAAACTCCCTCATAGCATTTGATGGTCTCGGCACCTATAAAGTACGAACTTCAAAACCATGCGAAACAATTACGAGACACTCTTGAATTTTGCCGATCAAGATGAGCAAGAAAAAAAGGAAAGTATCATGCTTGAAAGAATAAAGATTATATTTGACTAGCTATTCTCCTCAAAAAATTGTTGATATTTGAAAATAAAATTTGCAAGCTTTTATGATGAAGGACCCACTCAAAAGACAAGTGATGATGAAAAGCACTTAGAAAATAAAAAAAACGTATTTTATGTTCTTCTCTTCGCAGTCAAACAAGATTGATACGAATTTTGCAACGCTGCGACGTCGACGACATTTATGTGCTTTGCAAACATTTATCAGGATGAACCAAAAGTTCGTTTGCATCATTTTTAAATAATTTCAATGTCTTTCTCTTGCGATAATCGTAAAAATCGTATACTTTCTAATGGCATCTTGCTTGCTCTTTACTAAGCTTTGGTTGCAGAGAAAAAATTCTGAGAAGGAAATCATTTTAATTTCAGAATTTTGAGGCAAGCTTGTTAAAACTTTAAATCTTTGCCATAAACTCCAAAACAAGCAGTTTCCTTATGACACTATTTTTATAGCTAAGCAAAATGCGCTATCGAGCTGTTCTTCAAAGGCTATGATTTTTCAAAAAAATGTCAAAAAATCAATCTCTTTAAGGAGGTGATTTTTTCCATTTTTTTCTCGAAAATCATAACTTTTCTGGAAAAGGTTCGACCAACTAGAATTTTGCTTAGCTAGAAAAAAAGGTCAAAAAACCTAGGTTAGTAGCTGTTTTTTGGATTGGCACAGCTTTGGACTTCCAACGGGCTTGCTTCAAAAATTCGAAATTGAAGTGAATTCCTTTCCCAATTCTATCTCTGCACTCAAAGCTTGGTAGATAGCAGTCAAGGTGCCTCTATAAAGCGCATAATTTGCTGTTTTTAATGGAGTAGCCATGCAAAAACACCCTGACAAGAAGAAGCGAGTAGTAGTTCTTTTGGAGGTGCGAATGAACTTTCGGTTCAACCTAATATTGTACATTTCTAATAATAAATCTTTCATTCCTGTTGATTTTGACCGGTAATTGGTGGTTATAGCAGCATTCCGGCACACCTCCAAAAAATTAAGGTGATCACGGAGCATCTAGAAGTTCCATCCTCTTCCCCTTTCAATTGTAGTGAAGAATGTGAATCACTACGTTGGTCGAAAAGTGCGAAGAAGTTGTGAAGTAGGTGCGAAGACGCGTCAAAAACCCAGTTGTATGGAAAGTCCCCACCCCCCCCCCCCCTTCCAAGCTGGTTTGAACATGTTTGGTAATTCTGGACTAACTAAACATCATAAAATGATAGAAACTGCTCTGAAAAATTCGTTACAGCCGTTCATTCTTGCTATTCATTTTCAAACTAGATACGAGCATGAATAGGCTGTCTTCTTTTGCTGGCCAGATATTCACTTACACGTGTATAACGCGTTAAACTGATCTTGTCGATGTAATTGGCCCGGCATGCACGACCTTGCAATGATATCACCCCTTTCAAGCAACGCGTCCTCTCAATTGTGCACACGAAGCGATTTTGCGAAGTGCAGCTCTGTCGTATAATCAGTTTTGAAGGAGTTTTTCCTGATATTGTCTTGTGATATATTCGCTAATAACATTATTTTCCACTAGTGCGTTATACATCGCTTAACAACTTTGGTCGCTTTGCCGGACATGAATGTCAGGCATAAAGGAGGGCATGAGCAGTTTTATTGTGTGCCTCTATGCTTAATTGAAGGCTTTGAGTTGACTTCGAGTTGCAGGGGATATCCATTGTTGGAAACTATGATGCGCGCCATTTCTAATGACTCTAATCTAATGATTTCCTGCACATTCGACTGAATGTTTTGAACTAACGGGAACCGCATGTTTGACGGCAGCTGGGTGAGCGGAAGTATGTGAGATAGTATTTTTGTCTCTTTCATTGTAGTTCTAAATCAGGCCTATTCACATAAACTGATCATGCCTCAGATTTCGAAGCTGGCAGAAATCTTATAAATAAAGCCATATATCTGTTTGTATTTCCGTCCTTGGTTGTCATTTCCTATGCTTAAGCGGTAGTAGGCGCTTAGACGGTTGTGTGTTTTTTGATGTGCATAACCATCCACGTTTACCTCTAACAAGGAAGATTTTTGCTCCAGACCTGGTCCATAACTTGTTAATTTACATATGCTCTGCCTTTTTTGTGCTAGAATGATGAGATCACTGACGCCGTAAGATTCAGTTTTGCTGGTTTATCCTATGGAAGAACAGGAGCTTTCTTAGGTCTTGAAAGTGAAAGAGTAAACTAGAACACTTAGTGCATGATAGTCTGAGTGGATTGTTAGGTAGGTGCAAACTTGTAGTCAACATTTTCTATCTGTTGTGTCCTCGAAATTCGGACACTTCCTCGCTGTCTTCGTCCGTTGAGGACACTTCCTCGCTGTCTTCGTCCGTTGAGCGGTCCAAGAGAAGACAAGAACATTCATTTAGTATGAATAAACGAAAACAGAAGCAGAGGCAAATGAGTGAAAGAAAGAACTGGTTGAGGCTATGAGCGCCTTTTATAGCGCTCAATTCGCGCGCAAGTGATTCTCTGAAGTTGCGATCGACTACGCGGGACAGATCATTATGAGGAACAACTGTAGGATCAGTTACTACCACAGTACAATCATATGACCATTTTCAGACACTCGCCTTTCTTATGAGCTGACTGCAAATCGTTCACACTGAGTATTGCAAAATTTTTTTATCCAAGCAAGCAGTCTAAGCACCCCAGCACACCCCAGCGTTGGTGCATGTCTTACAAGTGGCGTACTAGAGTACAAATTCGGATGACAACGCGGTAACGAGTATATTTCTAACTCTGAGGTGGTCTAAGGATGTGGCATGTTTATATTAGGTTGGCTAATAAATAAGTTCGGTCGCTTTTTCAGCTCTTACAAATGCTGTAGACAAATTTTTGTCCAATGTTTGGTATTCCTGCAAAGAGCACTTCACTGGGTATTGGAGCATATATTCTGTTTAAGTAAAACTTATCTTTCTAGGAAGAAAACCCGCAAAGAAGTGAAAAATCGCAATTTTCCCATAATGCGCAAGTATGAGAAAATTTGGTTTTTTTAGTGAAACATTTTCAAAATGGCAGATCACATTAATTTTTGTTGTTCACTAAATAGGGATAACTCCTATCTATCCAAACACCAAACTGCTGTTCTTTACATCCATTACAGCATGAAAACGAAGCTCAAGAAGTCAAAGAATGGAGCTTTTGGAGATTTTGCCATGTTGAGGCTTGACAGTCTTTATTGACGATAGAAAATCCTGATCATTTGATATGTGATAGAGGAAGTTTCGAGCTACTTTATCACAAAGAATCATAGATTGAAAACAACAAGAAAATTTGTTGTACAGTTTGTATGCCAAAACGCATATGCTTACTTTAGCCAACCTAATAATTGCTGCTTTTGCTGGTGACAGAGCAACATTGTTTAGATTTGGTTACAGAATGATCAACAGCACATACCTGTAGACACTGGAGTAGTGAGAGAGTTGAGCTCATCAGTGGAAACAAACTGAAACAACTATGTTAGCTATTCTACTCTATGTAAGCTTTTTTCTCTTCTTCCTCATAGAAATCGTTTTACGGGCGCATTAACAAAATTCCTTGTCTCAAATTTGTTTAATTTTTCTTTTCCTTCGTTTCAAAAATTAAAATTGTGCGGTACAAAAAAATTGAATAAGCAAAATACAAAATGCTTGTGTTTAACCCCTGCCAAAATCATATTCCTTTTGCTGAATTCATTTCTCTCGATGTTATCAGACTGAAAAACGAGTAGAAATCGAATTATCGTAAGTATCCTCATGCCGGTAAGCAACAGTCTGACGCTCAATGACCAGCATACTTTGGATGCTCATTGAGTATTACACATACCCCTTATTATGAAACTGCTAAACCGCAGCTCCGGTTACTTCGAGTAAAACTTAGAACCCGTACCTCGACAGTCGCAAATTCACTGCTAGTCATTTTTATCTTGATGCACGCCGCTATCTCTGCTTCTTGCAAATTTGATAATTACGGGCACCCATAGAGCGCGAGCGCAGTCTTTTGAAGTGAATTTGAGATAATTAACAGCTCCTCGGACTCCGCCGGTACTTACATGAAAAAAAAATATCTCCCCTTAATGATGCAGCGGAGTATGTTGCCAAAGCAAAAGATCTGATCTAGTTGTCACTTTATGGGGGGAGCAGAGAACAGCTGTTAAAGACATTGGAGTGGAGTTTCTTGAAAAAGGTAAAGCACCACCAACGAATGTTAAACCTTTTCGCGCAATGGATATATTTTAAGCTGAGTACATATCGTACATTCAAACTTGTGGATTACTCATCAACGACCAGCAACTGAATTTCATAAGTCAGAAGCAAAGGGCTGAAAAAAGGGCGAAATGTGCCGCTGCCTGCGCGTAAATGAAGACAGGCAATTTGTATATTTGAAGAACGTATGCATCTAGAAGTTAACATTTGACACACATTGCGAGAGTAAATTCAACGCTCACTGACATGTTGTTGCATAAAGCGATTAAGGAAAGCAAGTAACAAGGAACAAGTACCTCTTCTGGTGGTGCTTCATCAGTTGTTTCTTCGCCTTCTTCTTCTTTTCTTCTTCTTTCTCTCTCATCCTCATAATTCAGAACTAAATTTTTACGTGGAACATCCAAATATAGGTGGTTTCAAAAGCAAATCGTTTTTCTTAATCAAAATTTTGGTTTTCCTAGCAGACTTTGAGTACCCGATAGAGAAACAAGCTCTCTACATATTGACCAATAAAGATCCACCTAAGTCGTAATCCATGTAAAGTTTAAAGCCAAAAGCTAATTTTTCAATTGCCTTGAATATCAGATCTCTATCCGAACAAGTACTAAGGGCGTTGCTCACCACACAGCATACGCACCACACAGCAGTACTCATAAGTATGTGCTAAATTTTTTGTCGCAGCCAAAGCTAGGCTCCTCTTTTTTCGGGTTTTCCATGTTGAACTTGGTATTTCGCGATTATAAGAGCACATGCAAAAATATGATTCTAAGGTTTTACTTATGAAGGCTTGCAGTAAAATCAATATGGAAGGAGCTGCAAGCACGGTCTGCCATTTTTAGACTTTCGTCTTTTCTCGACTCATATGGGCGAAAAACTCTGCAAATGTATTCATGAATACTGCTATGTATATTCTGTATGATGGCCATGGAGCTGCGATCGTTTTTCGCAAAAAATCAATTTTCGGCGCTGACGAAATTTTTTTGAATTTTGGCTTCAAATTTTGCTTGGATCATGGCTTAAGTGGTTGCCCTGGTGATATTTTGTAGAGCTTTCTTTAGTCTATCGAAAGGTACCCCAAGTTTGCTAGGAAAAAACCAGTGATTCAGTCAAAAAAATGGCTTGCTTTTGCGACAAGTTAATAAATGGACAACTCACATTGAGACATGTATTTCAATATACATTCACGAGTATCTCCGCTGGCGTTAGTTGTTTTAATGAACATCTGCTGCAAAGTTGTTGTTGATGTGTTTGAACGAAAATTGTCTAGATTTACATTATCTTTGCTCTTGCACTTTTGCTTTTACGCACTTAAAATCATGCAAAACTTACAAGGGAAGTCTTTAGGTGCCTTGAGTTACTATAACAGTCCAAGGACACTGAACTGAGCGCTGATTACAAACAGACTTGAGCAAGATTTCGCACATGTTTCTCAAAGGCGACCCCCTCCTTCTTCCTGAAAGCCCCATAGGACCCGTTCTTCCTTCGTTTCACCAACCTCAGAGTGTGACATTTAAAAGGTCCCCTGTCTTGGAGGAGTTTCTGCTTTTCGAAGTTTATACGCACGGTTTTCTGTGGCTGCACTTCACAAACACGCGTAATTTGAGGGGGGTTTGATCCAAATGGGCCTATTGAAAGGAGCATAATTGGAGTATCGTGTTTGGCTCCAAGATTACAGTGTAGCAAGAAGAGACTGTGAGCTCAATGATTATGCCAGGAATGAAGCGATTTCTTATTTTTGAAGGCAACTTAAGGGGGTCAGGCACAAGGCTACAGAAGCTCTGGCATCCTGACCTTTTGCGGGATTGTGCCTGACCTTATCAACTTTGGTGTCTGAGCCTCTCTCAACTTGTTCCGGTTTTGTGGTGATTTGCGGGGTTGAAGCGCCCGAGGTAAAAACCGCGGTGATTGAAATTTTGGCAGCACATCTTAGTTCGCAATTCAAAAGCGTTACGAAGTCTTATTTTCAGCATAGATTAATAGACATCATTACTTCATTATGGGTATAAAAAAGCTGACTAGCTATTATTATTATTTAAAATATATAAGAAAGAAAACTTATGTCCTTTAATCCAAAAAAACGTTGGCTTTTTCATCTTGAGGGCAAGTTACTTAAATCTAACATACGCTTTTTACTTTCATAAAATACTACAAACAGTACTAGTGACGTTTGTGGACGTTCATACAATGTTTTTTACATCCTGGTGCAAACCTACATCCTCCAGAACAGTTTTTTTTTGAACATGCGGTGGAAAGTAAAAAAGATTGCTTACAAAACGTGTATCGTTCAATGTTGTTTATAAAACTTATCCACCTCCTTGAGGTTATTATGCCGCAGTAATTTTAGCACTTTCCTTCCAACTATTTGATTGTAACAGTGATATCCTTTCAAACGAATTCGCATTCAGCTAACCTCCTCTTTCTCCCTTCCTCCCCCCCCTAATTCCGCAAATTCTTTGACCTGGAGAAGGTGAGGCCAGCACAGTTGTGTTGAAGAGAGCGACGTATTTAACACGTTCCCGAACCGAAGCTGCACCTGGTGCATCACGCGAATTTGCTGGACCTTCATGCATATCAAAGTGAGTTTTATCATATTCCAAAGTATCAGGTCAAATGCCTAGGCTCGTACTTTCGAGATAACTTTATAAGGCTACGCCGCATTAATGCATTTAGAAATTACAGTCACAAATCAAACAATGGTTTCAACATGGTGCAACAACGCGAACGACGCGTGCGGAGTCGCAACTTTCATTTGTTTCGTCTTATATATATAAAGTTAAATGCCTGTTTTTCTGTCTGTCTGTCTGCCTGTCGTATGTGCGGAATAGAAATCTTCACTTCCAAAACTTGGCACACATATACTTCGGACGGAGAGCGTGTCATAGGCTAATTGCGTCATCGATCGATATCGATCTTATCGATTTTTATCGATTTTTTGCACAGTATCGATTTTTGCATAGTATGGCCTACGAGGTTGGGAGTTGGCACAGGAGAGTAAGTGAGCATAAGCATACTGATAAGAAGTATTAGTTTTCTAAAATTATCAATTACTTTTATCAATTCTACCGATTTTTTGCAAAGCCAAGCTACAAGGCTGGGAGTTGGCACAGGGGGTAAGTGAGCACGATGATTACTAACACAGCGGGAATAACGAATTGGCACGTAGAAGTGAGCACATGGAAAGGTCGTACAGAAAAAGGGATAAATCTTTTATCATAGTCTTTTGACAGGCCGAGCGGAGCTGGGTAAGCCACTTAGTTTTCCATAAGAAAAAAAAACAGGTTTTTCGTACCGATGGGTACTGTGTGCGACATAGGGGATTTAGCTACCATTCAATTCTGAGAGCTTATTTCTATTCTGAGAGCTTATTTCTATCTTTCAAGAAAAAGAAGCAATCCTATTAGGCGACAAAATTGAGAGATTCACATTCAATCGAAATTTTTGATATAGACCTTATTTGATATGCTGATTAAAGATATAGTGCTGATTTCACGAAAAGGCCCTTTGTAGACTATATATCAAAAGTGCATGCTATTTCGCCGCGTTGACTTCACGATCCGAAACGTGTTTAACACCGTTTGAGACGATTGATCTGAGTATTTTTTGTAAGACAACTTTCCTTCCTTATCAGCAAAATTTAAGAATTGTTCTTGAAGTGACGTACTTTTAGCATGGCATAGTGTCCGTTGCACAACTCCTTAGCGCAGTAACAATAATTTTCCATTTTGCCATAAGTGCGGCATGTATTCACGAGCTAGAACCATTACAATTCGTAAGAAATTTCATTCAAAAGACACGCACAGATTTGTCGTAATCCTCAATGGTGTATTTCGTTTGTTCCCTATTGGAAACACAGAAATTTCTTGGAGCAAAGCGGCACATCTTCTTCTTCTAAAGAAAACTGTAGTGTTGGAACGAAAAACGCAGTAATTCCTATGTCAACGAAACTAAACTACATAATGCTGCTTAATGGCCGTAAGCCAATGCTTCTGAACCCGCACACTAAGCAGGTGTGCTGCGAGATATGGAAAAGATTTAACCATTACTCTTGTTCGAAATAAATCATACTCTCTAATCAGCTAGCTTGTGCGAACGTATAACAAATCAAATTGCGAACAAGAAGGGCTCCTTTGCGAAATACCAGCAACTAACCGTGCTGGTGAGTTTCTAAAGATGTATAGGCCCAATTTTTCAAATGAATTTATAATTGCTTGATTGACTTCTAAAGAATTCAGGAAAAAATTTTGTGCGTTATAGAGTAGACTATGGTTGGTAGAAGCTACGGTTTTTCATACATTACTTTAATTAAATGCTGAAATCCTTCAAAGGTTTTTTGTTGTTCACACTATCTAAAACACCTCACGACGCTAGATCTACAACTAATGCCGAGTTTAGACTGATCCCAAAGTTAGGGAACAGTTCCAGCATAATTCTCGCACTTTGCCGGAATTGTGCTGTATGCGCTGCAGCTGCCCGCATGCGGTTTTGAGCTGCGCATGGCAGTTTTTGACTTTCTTCAATGGTTTTTACTGGAAACTTCGCTCATTTTCTCCTCATTTTCGCATTCTTCTTGATTACTTTTCCGCTTCCAATGAGAAACTCTGGACTCGGAGGAAATACGGAACAGAAGCGGCAGCAATTTATGACAGTTTTCAGCTGATGCACAGAAAGAAATTGCGTTCTTTTTTGTTCCCTTCTATATGGGGTGAAAAGAGCAGTACTATGAAAACCGTTGAAGAAGTCAAACATTGTTATTTCGCGCCGCTTAAAACCGCATGCGAGCGTTGTAGCGCGTGCAGCACAGTCACGGCACAGTTTCAGCACAGTGCGAGAACTGTGCTGGAGTTATCCACGATCGACTCAATCGATCTCAGCATCGTATAAGTTATATATCTTTCACTGATTTGTTCAGCTTGCACAAGATTGGTATATCCTTCATTTAACCGGTGTTTCGGCTCTATCGCCGAAAATGACAAATGGCAAGATCGGGTCATTAAATTGTTGACAGGGCAATGACCCGACCTTGTCATTTGTACTCTTTTGATTCACTAACAGGTTGGGCAATTTGCTTGGTCGTGACGAAGTTGCTGACTGGACAGTTTACATGGTCACAACTTTTTCAAACCCCCGGAGAAGGCGATAAAGCCGGAACGTCGGTCAAGAGATATGCCAATCTTGTGCAAGCTGAACAAATCAGTGAAAGATACTGGAGTTGTCCCAAAACTTCGGAATCAGTATGAATGAACCCAGCCTAAATCACAATGCCGAACGCTAGAACCTCCTCAAGACTGCTAGGATGTTACTCAAATCAAAAGACGCACTAAATTAGAAGCTTTATTTGAATAAACTAAGCACAAAGCTCGGCGACAGATTTTTTTTACTTTGACTGCTGTCTTCGTTGTATTAAGTAAGCACCTAAGTGCGAAGCTAATACAACAAAGACAATGCGAACTTTTTTATACATCCGGTTTTTTTAATATGGCACTCCATGTTTTACTGCATACGTTACGACATAGGCTACGAAAGCAGCCAGTACTGCCGAATTTAACAAGCGCACATGAGGCTTAGGCCTAAGGAATACCTCACGCGATTTAAAAAGCCGGATTTCAGTCGCTGCGCGATCAAATGCTGCGACACTTCATAACTGGTAGTAAGCGCGCTTTGCATGAGCCAGACTTGATGGGTTTGCTACAAATTACAGAAGCTACACGCCTATGTAGCTGAGCCCCGCGCAGGCCAATCTGTGGAGATCTGGGCCGGTAGTAATCTACCCTACCTGGTGGCATCAAAGATGCCGGCAAGTTGGCACACATCGCGGAAAGATGCCAACTCCGCCGGCAGCTCGCGGAGTGATTGTAGGATTTAATAATCTTATGTAACCTTAACACGCAATCATCTCGCACACTAAATTTTGATGACGCAGACAGCCGCAAAACTGCTACCTCGCGCGCGGTCGAGCCTACGTGCGTTAACTTGAAGTGCCACCACGTTCACCATTCGACCATTCGGTTATTCATTTCCGTTTGCACCAGCAATAGGAGGAACGCGCTGGTAAATGGCTGCCTGTAAGAGGGATCGATACATTGCGTGAGAGACTTTGACCTGAAAGAACAGCTGATTGATATGAGCGAGAGAGGGGCGAAATCGGCGCAAACGAGATTTATAAGGGATTGCCAAACAAGATGATGTTCTTTATGATTCTAAGACATCACTGTATTTTTTCTCTGCAAGAAAATCGTCGTTTTGAAAAAGAAAAACTCGTATAATGAAAAAAAGTTGGTTTTTTGATGAAAAGTAGAATTTTTGATTTTTTCGCCTGACGTAAATTGTGTGATATCGCCGCAATTCGCAAACTCGCAGACGCCGTCGGCAAAGGTGCCACCACCTCGACGTGGTAGGGGCACGTCGAGATGCCGGCAGCTCCCTCTCTCAAAAGAGCACGCTATTTCCCGTGCTCTCTGACCTGCCGGCAGCTGCCATCTCGCGGATTTTGACGAGCTGCCAGCAGGTTGCCGGCAACTTACATCGCGAAGTTGCCGGCAGCTCCTTCTGCGCTTCCAGATATTTTCCCACAGGAGGATTTCTAGAACCGCAGATTTCTATGAAGTTTTCTAGAGAGTCTAGGCGGCATCTTTGTCGAGAAAATTTTCTGGAAATAAGCCTGGTAACGCCTAAATTTGGGGTTTCACTTTCTGGCCACCTCACGGAAAAGGTGCCAGCGACCTGCCGACGAGACCTGCCGCCAGGTCGGGGGATTACTACCGGCCCTGGTAAATCAACAAGTCGCGTGGATGTAGCGATTTGACGAAATCGCGCGAGGTATGCCTTAAGTCTAAAGGTAGGTTGACAAAACAATCTTCGCATTACTTCAGACATTGTTGGAACTTGTTATAAGAGAGAGGAGTAAACGATATGCAATTGTAGAAAATTCATTACGCGTAAAAATTCTTCTTTCGCAACATTAAGGTACTCTATGTTCGAAGATCGTTCGGCATCTTGAATTATTTCACTGTGCGATGCCTCGGTAATTCGAGGTTTCACGACTTTTCAATTAGTCATGAACATCCCTCACTTTCGCACATTTGCCATGCAACTTCGAAAGCGTTAGACCCAGTCCATATCTTTTTTTAAAAAAAAAATGCCTTACTGATCGAAATGGCTGTTTGAAATGATATATATGCTCCTTATTCCAGTGATAAATGCTAATTTCAAAACTGCAACCCTTGCCTGCGAAAAGCTTCTTTGAGAAATCTCCAAGTTCGAGATACTAACATACCACTTCGTATAGGAGCACTGTATGAAAGGTGCTATCACAGTAGAAGAGTGCAGCGCGAGTGCGATTGTTTATTGCCCTTAATCTCACTAGCAGTTTTTTTTTACATTTTCATGATAGCCTTTTCCAGAAAAGCGTTTTGCAGATAAGGATCGCAGTTTCAGTGTACGTCATTATCCCCATAATATATCTCATCTGAAACGGCCATTCGTGAGCTTGATCAATTTCTTTGCAAACCGTAGAATCTCATTCACGCGTTTTCGGGTAATACTCAGCCTTTTCTATAAGACCAGTTAAGTGAACTTTGTTTAGCCGACGTCACATTTTACACAACGCTAAAGATTAAGCGCTTTTTACTCAAGAAAGATGAATTGTGGAAAAGCTGCAAGTTTTGGGCTTTGAAGGCAGTGTCTTGGCAGAGCAGTTTCCCAGTTTTTCTTTTTTTCCGGAGCCTCCTCCCCATGAGGAATCCATATCTGGGCTTTTAGCGCATGAATGACGAAAATGAACTTTTTCGGAAGCTTTTCAGGTTCACATTCAGTGAAGATACGCCTGAAAATGGTGCGCCCCGCTCCCATCGTTCCAGGCCTCGCCCACTTTTCCAATAAATGCGGAACTGGAAAGCTTTAAAGGAACTCATTTTCGCCATTTTTATGCGCTGAAAAGACAAGATATGGGTTTTCTGTGGCGAGAAAGCTCCGAAAAGGTGAAAATCTGTAGAAGGAAATTCTGCCGAGACACCGCCTTCAATATGTGCTGTAAGACTGGCAGCGATAATTGCGAGCAATCAGCTTACAGCACACCGCTATTTCACGCTATCATACGTGGTACTTCTGTGTCAATGTTAGAAACAGCGGATTGAACACCAAACGCTCCGAAAGCACCAGTGCCATAAAGCGCATCGAAATGGAATGTTCGTAGAATTGGTGCAAATAAATTTTCATTATTTTTGTATCCTTCATGTTTATGGTTCGTCTTCTTGCTGCTTGAGTTTTTTTTTCTCCACAAAGCAAAGCGAATCAAATCACAAAGGTCAGAGCATCGAAAATGACACAGACTGCCGATTATGTGAATTGAGCTCTGCAATCCATGTAGCATTAGCATCCATAAAAGATGCTCTATCATTTTTGCGAGTATTCGTCCCTGCATTGAGATCACGCATGCAGGTAGTGAAAAAAGTAAGGACAGTAGTTTGTATTGAGATCAGTACGGGTTTGATTGAAATTGGATGGTATTGCTCAATCATTTGAAGTGGCTCACCCAAAAAGCGTTAAAAAGTTTGTTTTTCTCAACACTAAATTTTGAGAGGAATGCTGGAAATGCGTTCGCAAAGATTTACACAGCATACCCTTCATCCTAAAAAAACTACATATCAAAACAACTTACGGGATCTACCTCCACTTCATCCAATGGTTCGCCATGCTCACCTACATAGCATTTCAGTGAGTCAACAAGCAGTGGACATATTGTCAACATTATTTTGAAGCCTTAAATGTCAGCTTGTTTAAGAAATATTTCTATTTATAATTTTGGATATACTGATAAGTTCAGAAAGAGAAATAAAACCTTAATACAGAAGACCGCACGCCAACTTTTCGACTGACCTAAGTTTTGCGGGCCACAGCGGTTTTTTTTTGTAAGTCACTGCACTCGACATTCATTATCAAGAGCAACACGTTTAAAAAGCAAATTGAAAGTCGACATCTCATAAGCATTTGAAGCGTATAACCTTTTTATCTTTTATTGCCCATAAAATGTCATCGCCACGCTAAAGCAGTAAACATAAAGTTCACCAAATCACTTACACCGTCAGTACCCAGTCCGGAAGGTAAAGGAAATGCAAGCGTTTTGAAGATGGAATAGAAGATTCGAAAATTCCCAGCTCTAGTCATTTCAATGCGTGGACGTTACCTTTGCGTTAGCAGACAGATGCATGAAAGGCAACGAGACATTAATTTTACTTAACATCCAGGTGCGAACCTAGTATTAAGTTGTTCCAAAAGTAAATATATTTCTAAATGAAGCTGTTTCCGTTTTCCTAGCAAACTTGGGGTACCATTCGATAGAGCAAAACAAGCTCTACAAATAGATAGCAAGAGAACCACCCGAGTCGTGGCGAACTCCACCCTCAGCTCCTCCCACATATGCAATTGTTTACTGCAAGCCTTCATAAGTATAATCTCAGAATTAGATCTTTGTATGTACACCTTACTTGATTGAGAGATACCAAGTTCAATATTGAAAAACCCAAAAAGATGGCATTTTGGCCTTTTGTGACTTTTTTGAATTTGAGCAGTGAAAAAAAATCCAGCAGATGTAATCAAGAATACTGTTATATCAGTGGCGGTACCCCGCTTTTATGATGACCATCTGGAAGGAGATCGGATTTTTGGGACAGCTGAAATTCAATTTTTGACTCTGAAATTTGCATGGTTTATGACTTACAATACCGCTCATAATTCGTCAAAAAAGTCGCCGAACTGCGGCGCACTCCGCCACACTCCGACACAGTGCGCCGGAGTGTGGCAGAGTGCGGCGGAGTTTGACAGAGTGCGCCGGAGTGCGGCAGAGTGCGCCACACTCCGCCGCAGTGCGCCGGAATGATCGTCAATTTAGCCATATCTCGCTTCAGAATGGACGAATTCTGAATCCGAGGATACCGTTCGATTCAGCTCGACGAGACGCATCATCTTATATATGAAGCTGAACTTCTGTTTGTCTGTTTGTCTGTACGTATGTTCCGAATAGAAAAATCCATTTCTGAGCCGATCCGGACCAAACTTGGCACACATACACTTCGGGCACCGGCGAATGTCATAGGCTACTTTTCTTCATCGATCGATATCGATTTTATCGATTTTTAGCGATTTTTTGCAGAGTTCACCTATGGGGCTGGGAGTTTGCATAGGGGGGGGGGGGTAATCGAGCATGGGGATTCCGAATACAATATTAGTTTTCGATTATCGATTACTTTTATCGATTTTATCGATTTTTTTGCAAAGTTTGAGCTACGGGGTGGGAGTTTGCACAATCACAATGGTAATCGAGCATGGGGATTCCGAATACAATATTAGTTTTCAGATTATCGATTATTATTATGGTTGAATTCAGTGTGCTGATAACAGTATTACCATTGATCTGTCGCTGATGACACATAGACAGTATACTATAGGAGTATGGTAGAGAGCCGCTCTGATCGAATTTGTTCTAACAAGGGAGGTCGAATCAGTCGAAGTGGCGTTTCCAAATGGGTCATATACCATTTTGAAGAGCGTTGAACGCTGATTCCGAATCTGCCTTCATTATCTGCCGAGCGCTTCTGGACGTCGAGTTATGAAATTTTTTAGAGCGAAAAATGAACTCAGAATTCAAGTAAAATTAACTATTACGGACTTTTCAGCGCCTAAATAGAGCAACATGTAGTATGAGTGTTTTGGACAGAAGGTATCCTTTGTAATGGAGTGCTCTGATAACCAACTTCGGACCATTTGAGCAATTCTGACGAATTTTGTTCTAATTACGCATTAAATTTTTCAATCAAAGGAACGCTCATAACTCGGCGTCCAGAGGCGCTCGGCAGATAACGAAGACAGATTCGGAATCAGCGTTGCATGCTCTATAAAATAGTATGCATTTCATATGGAAACGCCACTTCGACCAAGTATCCTTCCCTTGTAAGATCTGCTCAAGATCACAATACCGCGCACAGAATGTCAAAATTTCCGTGAACTTCGCGGAATTCCGGGATTTCCACCAAAGTACGTGATAATCCGGGAAGTTCGCGACATATCAGGATCCGCGAAACCATGCGAATCACGCAGAGAACGCAACGCCATAACATCCTTCGGAATGAATATATTCCGAATCCAGAAGCAGCATTGTGTTCAGATCGTCGAGGCAAATATTTTGATATACAGTATGCTCTCGATATTCCATTTTCAGTTTTTTCGAATTTTTTCTGTGGAGGTCTTTTCGCAAGGATGTAACGCAGCGTCTGTGTGACATAAAAGATTCCAGTAAGCACTGTTCGATAGTACTGTCCTTGTAGATTATCGTGCGTTCAAGAGTAGCTGCAGACTGTCTCCCAAAAGAGACAGAAGCATTGGTGAATTTTGGAAAAATCACGCGTTTCTAAATTCTACTCGCCGTAACTTCCTTCGGAATGAACATATTCTGAATCCGAAGAGAGCTTTGTGCTCAGTTCATCAAGGCAAATCTTTCGATATACACCATATCCCTGATATTCCGATTTCAATATTCTCAAATCTTTCTGTAGACGTCTTTTTGTGAAGGTGTAAAGCAGCGCGCATTGCTCCTAGTAGACTCCAGCAAGGACCTTTCGATAGTACTTTTTCTGTAGATTACGCAGCCCTAAAAAGTAGTCACAGGCATCTTTCCATAGGAGTTAGAAGGGCTGGTGAATTCTGGAAAAATCATGTCGTTCTAAATTTTTCTCAACGTAACTCTAAAATATGAAGCCCTCTTTCTAAGCAGATGTGATTTTCGTAATCAGCAGGTCGGATAACCCTTATAAGCAAGTTTTCCAAGATGTTCGAGTAATTTCATTTTTTCTCGTTTTACGCTCTGAAGCTGCCCGATGGATTTTGGTCAAAATGTTCATGCTCTTAAATTGTAAGGAAACTTCGCTTATAGAGGTTTCGAACACGCTCTTTACGAAAATCGTGGTCTTTGAGGATTACAGGGTCTTCTTGGAGAGATACGGTGAGGTGACTGTAACTGCATCACGAAAGCTCGTAACTTCGCCTCCACCTCTCACGTGTCTGTCAAAGAACCTGCCTGCTTGCTTTACTAGTCAAAGATAGTAGGAGATGTGCTATCGAATGGCGCAAGACTCAGGCTCCAGTCTATAAAATTCGCCGAGTTACGAGCCTACGAAAATACGTTCTCATGAATTTTGCTCAAAATGTAAAGATCGCAGATTTCGTCGAAATTCCACCGTGAGTACTTGTACAATACGCTGATCAAATCTTTTCACATTCTTAATGGATCTTATTGTGAGATTTGGTGATTTGAGCTTTAGCCACAAAACAGCTTTGATATCAATTGCTGAAGCACACGCAAGCACCATATTCAATACGGTGGAGTTATTGAGCGAAGCGAACATAATATCCGCAATGCGAGCGTCATACAAGCACTCACGGTGGAATTTCGACGAAATCTGCGATCTTTACATTTTGAGCAAAATTCATGAGAACGTGTTTTCGTAGGCTCGTAACTCGGCGAATTTTATAGACTGGAGCCTGAGTCTTGCGCCATTCGATAGCACATCTCCTACTATCTTTGACTAGTAAAGCAAGCAGGCAGGTTCTTTGACAGACACGTGAGAGGTGGAGGCGAAGTTACGAGCTTTCGTGATGCAGTTACAGTCACCTCACCGTATCTCTCCAAGAAGACCCTGTAATCCTCAAAGACCACGATTTTCGTAAAGAGCGTGTCCGAAAACCTTTGTAAGCGAAGTTTCCTTGCAATTCGAGATCCATTTTGACCAAAATCCACCGGCGAGCTTCAGAGCGTAGAACGACAAAAAATGAGATACCCCGAAACATCTCGAAAAACTTGCTCATAAAGGTTATCTGAGCCGCTGATTACGATCACATCTGCTTAGCAAGAGAGCTTCATACTTTAGAGTTATGGTGAGAAAAATTTAGAAAGACATGGTTTTTCCAAAATCCACCAGCCCTTCCATTTCCTTTGGAATGAAGTGTACGGCTATTTCTTAGCGCCCCATAATCTACAGAAAAAGTACTATCGAAAAATTCTTTCTGAACCCACTGGGGGCAATACGTGCTGCTTCACACCTTTGCGAAGAGACGTCCGCAGAAAGTTTTAAGAATACTGAAATCGAGATATCAAGGACACTTTGCATACCGAAAGATTTGCTTTAATGAGCTGAGCACAATTCATTTTTCGGAATCAGAAAATATCCACTCCAAAGAAAGTTACGGCGAGTAGAATCTGGAAACGAGTGATTTTTCCAGAATTTACCAACGCTTTTTTCTCTTTTGGAAAAAAGTCTGCGGCAGCTTTCTAGCGCACTATAATGTACAAGAAGAGCACTATCGAATGATACTTACTAGAAGCTTTTATGTTGGATAGGCGCTGCGTCACATACTTGCAAAGGGACCTCCTCAGACAAATTTTAGAAAACTGGAAACAAGATATAGATGACATGACGTATGTCGAAAGATTCGCCTTGACGAGCTGAACACAATGCTGCTTTCGGATTTAGAATATATTCATTCGAAGGATGTTATGGCGCTGCATAATTTGCGATATTCCGGAATCGCGAAATTTGTGGAATTTCGCGAAATTCCCGTTCTATGGGTGGTATTGTACATTGCACAGCACGCGCGGCATTCCACGATATCTGCTTCTCATGCGATTTTCAACCATTTGCCTTTGTCTTCCTGCATTTTGGGACCTGTCATACTACGCCAAGAAAAACCCAGTTTCACACATATCCATG